TGCGATTTATCTACGACTTATCTACGCTTTATCTACGAATCGGAAAATGTTTGAATTCGGAACGATACGTTGCATTCGTAGCCCGCGTGAAAGCAGGGCAAAATAACATAACTGTTTTCGGAGCCAAAGTGACAACATCTACCAGGACTACAACGAATTACGGACGATAAGAAAAGATTACGACATGTTTACGAATTAAAGTCGTAACCGTTCGTAGCTTGATGAACAAATATACTTTTTTGGCTGAGCTACTTATCCTAAACAAATTGTGAAAGAAACCAATGCAGTTTGGTTCAATGATAAAATTCAATTTGAGGTTCTTCAGAAATTATCGGAGAGCGATGTCTCGTAACAAGTGTCTTTCATTAGTGGGAGCATAAATACTTTCTTTTTAAATTCCCGAAACACAGAGTGGTTATGCGAGCGAAATGTGCCGAAAAATTGAATTTGACAAACATCAATTAAAAAAATTAATTTTTCATTTGGTGATGGACATTTCTTTCAAAATGACTGTCAAATTTAGTAATGTAATACCATTTAACCCCCGCCCCCCCCCCCCCCCCACACACACACACACACACACACAACCGCCAAAAATAAAACGAACAAAAAAACAAATAACAACATTACCCAGGTAATAAAAGAGCAGCGATAATCTAAAAAAAATTAATTTAAAGAATTATTAATGATAGAAATTCGAAATAGAGGGCAAAGTGAAATTTAAATGGTGGAAGTTTAATTAATCGTCATTGTTTTCCGTTGGGTATGGTTTGTAATATGTCGTATATATGGGTTTGGTGGTTGTTGGGTTCTGTTAAAAAAAAAAAAATTATGAATGGTCCAGATGGTGTAAATATAAAACGACAAAATGGCGATGCCTGTCCTTGTGGATATTGCTTGTAATAAGGTTTTTACGGTTACTGAATTCAATAATGGGTTCAAAATTTAATTTCAAAAAGGGTTATCACACATCAAATTTTGCCTAAGCTAGAAACATCAGGACAATATATCTATACACGACTTTGCAAAAAAAACGGCAGTCAACTATCGCGAAAGAAAGAATTCAAAGAAAAATGTTAAATATTTTGGGCTACGATATCGAAAAACACCCCCTGTTTAGAATTTATCGTACTGTTATTGTCCATTTGATACCGCTTAAATATTTCATTAGAGGCCCAGATCACTAATGATTTAAGCGGTATCAAATGGGCAATAACAGTCCTCTAAATTCTAAACGGAGCTTTGAACAACCGGCCCCGGTTGAAGGTATCTATTCGATGTCGTCCGTCAACTTTGCTATAAAAGGTTCTAAGGGGCCACCCAAAAGGCCCAAATTAACACTCAAGTTACGAAATTGTCTATTTCCGGGTTACATGTGTGTCCGTAACCCTATGTTAGCCATACCCTTTGCGTTTATAAACCCAAGGTTTAAATAAAAGAAAATACTAGCTTAGAAATCATGATAATGGTTACATCATCAATTGACTAACATACCTTTCAAAAATCAACAATTTATTACATCATCTAGTTGTGAATACGGAACAGCTCCAGATTGGCGTGGTTATTGTATGGTTACGCCATAGTTTTTTTTTAAACAGAAACCGTGTTACTCTTAAAATGGCACAGGTGGTGATATATTAAAGTCCAGATTGGGCTCCACTGGACGATATTTGAAATTTTCATTATTTCGATAACGATACAAATATCCACAACATATTGCCAGTATTTAAATAGTATATTGCTTCCAGCAAAGAGACTCGAAACGAGGCGGTAAAACACTAAAATTAATTTATCTGAGAAGAAAGTAAATTTTAATCATTGTAAATGAAATGTAATGGTGTTTATAGAATTTCAGCCTGAGTACAGCAATAGCTAGAGAGGGTTTTCTCGGCCATTGCTTCAGGAATATGAGGTTTCTTTAACGTGTACGTTAATTGTAGCACTACATACTACACATCCTTTGTTTTAGCCTTGTCGTCTAGGTTTGACTGGCGTGGATACTATCGTAGTTCTCAACTCGTGGACTTCGGGTTATTGTATAACTTCCGCTACCCAAATCAGATATATATGATCGATATAAAGTTCTTCGAAAATAGGTGTTTATATTAAAACAGCATAATATATTATATTTAAACAGGTTACACAGATTTAAGCAATAGACTACATAATACTTAAAAATAACGTCCTTCATTCTCTCGACTCACTCCTGCAAAGTCTAGACTTCTGGAAAACACTACATTTAATCTCTCAAATTCAAATGGTCGTCTTATTTGCTAAGCATAAGTTTGACCTTTTATATTCCCCGATTTCTCGCATTCATTATTGGTTACCCCCAATGACGTAATCATTAGCCAAATATGGACATTGGCCTTGAGAGAATATCTGGTAAATTTCCATTTAAAGTGCACAATATGCGTTTGAAACATAAACAAATATGATGTGTTTATGACAACCAAAAAAGACAGGCCATTTTAAGATAGCAATATATCTCTTATTTCCGTTGGATTACGTGACGTCTAACTTGTTTATGATTTTGAACCATAATATTGTTACACAATATACGTTGTCCTGCACCACTAACAAAAGGGGAGAGGGGCGGAAAATCCGGATTTTCGCGGAACCTCCAGGTTAGCGAGCCAACTCCTTACTCACTTAGATATCCTGGCTCTTGAATCATTTTACGGTCAGGCTTACAATAATCTTTCAGTGAATATTATTAGGGAAAGGGGGGTAGGTTCATGCAATATATTGGATTATCTTTAATCTTTAATGTGTGTAATATAATTTTCCTCTTCTTCAGATATCAGTCAGTCATGATAATTTGTAAGCTGACCAATTCTTCGCAGAATACAGAAACAGTATCGGTTGTAGAGAAATCGGTGCTAAGGAGTAATATAACTTTGAGGCCTACAAATTATTTGAATGTAACAAAAAATAACAAGCTTCAACGAAATTTCACTCGTTGCATTCCGGTCCTATACGATTTCCATGACAAAATGGCGTTGATTCAAATGTTGGAAACTGATATACTGTTTGGTATGGAACATTTTATTATGTATTATAATAATCACAATCAGTCAATGGTGGATGGTGTTCTGGAGTTTTATCAACGTAAAGGGGTGCTTGAACTATATAAATGGGATTTACCTATCAAGACTAATGATATTCATTACTACGGGCAGATAGCAAATATGCACGATTGTTTGTACAGATCTATGCACCAATCAACATATGTTTTGTTTGCTGATGTAGACGAAGTAGTCATCTCTCCTGTTTTTAAAACGTGGCTTGACCTAACAAACAATTGTTTAAAACCCAACTGTGCCTCGCTACAATTTCAGAATGCCTTTTTTCCGATTGCATTTAAATCAACGAACAAAAACTGTAGTGGCATGGCGGATGCAATAAAATATAATATGACATTTTTCTTAAAAACTACCCACACCAAAGTACATTCTAATGGGGATCGGTCAAAGCAGTTGGTTAAACCAGAATTAATCTACTTTTTATACATTCACTCAATCGTAAAATACTACAGTAAGGAATCACAAACATGTAAGGTGAACCACAAAGACGCGATGCTACATCACTATAGAAACAAAATGGCTATTGACATGAAAACACCATACTTGGAAAATACAATAATGCATGCGCTAAGTGCACGTCTAATTCCAAATATCATTAAAACAATGAACAGTGTTGAATAAAATGGACAATGTTTATCGTAGAATTCAATATGGACAATACGTTACACATGGTACCTCTTTTACAACATCTTTTATACTTGTACTCCCTTGACGTTATGTGTTTTGGTTACAAATAGATTAATGCAAATATTTTGTGCATGTGGCCTGTAGGCTATATATAATATTTTCACTTATCCAATTTTAATGAATTGGGTATCAACATGTAAAAAAGTTCCGATTCTTTAAAAGCATTGGAGTAAGACGTGTACACCCGTCACGCACGATAAATTAAGAAAACAGTGTCCGATATGACTGAACGGAACATGTTAGCTTATAGTCGGGTCTCAACCACAGGTTCGTGACCATTTCTCCGGGAACAAGGTTTGATAGATGAGACCCTAGTAAAGATATAATTATGTAGTTTGCTACCTCTGAAATCTACGGTCTATATAACTCCAGGAAGATGGGAGGCCAAAAAGGGTCGGAAATTGATCTTGACAATCATCGTTGGCGAAATGACGGCCTTGGGGTGTTATTGCTTCTTTAACTGCTGTAATTTCTCATTCAGTTGACATCGGAATACTTCTATATTTTTTATGGTTGAAAATTAATTTAACATAATTCATTGCATTGTGCAACGTAAGAGTATTAAAGCTACGTTCCCAGAAAAGGTATTTATCGGGTGGTTATTTGCAATAAAAGTATGGCAATTTTGGTATATATGCAAAGTAGAAATATCCAATCTTACTAGAAAAATACTGGATTCCCTGAAAAACACTCATGGAGCGCATACATGACTAAAATATAAGGGTTTCCCTAATCGATAGCCCGACGATTAGAAGTGTCTGCACGCGTGACGTCGAGGGTTGCACGCGGAGATTGAGCGCATGATGTACATTTTGATAAATTTTATGAAGAATTAGACGTACAACACTTTCTGAGATAAAAAAAAATCACGTAAAAAGACGCGAGCAGTTGATAATCCGAAAATTTAATTAGGCTTCGATATTTATAATAAATAGTCAGCGATTAAAGACAGCATCGTCTTGTGTATGCAATGAATTCTCCTCCGACTTCGCTTGCGTTGCTATGTACTGAAAGAGGTAAGTCACGTGACACAAACATGACCTCTTTTGGTCGATTTTTTTATAGCCAAGGTATTCCTCGACAATTGCAATGTTTTGAGAAGGATTTGAAGCAAAATTATGATAAATTAATTAGTTTGAATGTTTTTAGTTCAAATATATATATCATCAAATCAGCCAGTTTGTACCCGGGAATGTATCTTTAAGTTGCCTAGGAGACAAAAATGTGTAAATTTTAAAGTAATTTTATTTCCAAATGGTTCATGATCACTCTAAAGTACTTAATGATAGATAAAGTATAATATAAGATATACACACAAATGTATTGTATATAATTTTTATGAGCTTTTATTTGATTGTACTATTGTCAGATTGATTATACCGGGAAGAATATATATATATATATATCTTTATATCTTAAGATACTCGAGAAAGAGAACGTATGGTTCAATGTATACCAGAATGAAACAAAAGTGGTTATTTTTTAACAAGGCGTAATTTTTTTTATTTATTTATGAATATATCTACCGTAAACATAAATAGCTGAGCATGATCGATTGAATTTGGGATGTCTTCGGGTTGTTGGTCAGGCGTTAAAATCGCTCACTCTTCTTGTTATTCCTAGTAAATCCTTATTCTCCCGGTTACCTCTGATTTTTTCATGCCAAATGTATAATATTGGCTATTCGGTACTGAATCAATGAAAAGGGGTTAAATTTATATTTTCCGCCTGGTTATGCTTAATATTCATCATGTCGACATAACTTTAGTAGCACCGGAGAGCTCAAAGTGATTATAATCTGGGTGACTCTGGTATTATGGTTATGACCATACAAAACGTCTGTGAAAACTAAGCCACGTGGCCATAGTAAACGTGATTTAAATATGTGATTCAACCCAAATTTGAATGGGTTTCAATGGATAATTGATAGAAGTGTTTATCCATATTAGTTACTTCCCTTCAATCTCAGATAATCGCGATTCCACCTGCAGGGTAATTCAAAAGTCTAGTAAAAACGATACTTTTCATAATATCGTGCCTTAACTTATCGATTGCTTTTCAAAATGTCTATCTATCTAATTTGGGCTTAGAATGGGCCGAATTTGTTGTTTTTCTGCCACGGAAGTAAACAAACAAGGAAGTGGAATAAAATAAAACAGCCAATGGTAGTATCCATTATTGCTGGATTTCAAACTTTTGTATAACATTAAAGAAATAAAAACATAAAACAAGATATCTTTAAATGAGTGAGATTTAAACATTAAACAAACAAACAAAAAGAAAAATTAAATGACATACATAAATACAGTTCATAAGATCTGTATCAACAAAAATTGCACATGACTTAAATTTATAATATATGTATAAATAAATAAATCTTTAAATATATATGAAAGATATATTTCTCTACATGTGTTAATTTATAATTTGTACACAATATAATACAAATATATAAGATAATTTATAAATTTACAAATTTTATGATACACTGGTGCAAGAAGAAATGTTATAAGGAGAGGAATCATTACTTATCTTTTGTCAGCTGGCTTATAGCTGGTTTAGGATGATTGAAATATTTTGGCAATCATGTCTGTCACCAAAAACAAAATAATTATACATAACAGATTATAAAGATTTGACAAATGCTGTGAGGACAAGCATTTGAATTTAATAATATATGAAAGTAAATCTCTCTCTCTCTCTCTCGCTCTCTCTCTCTCTCTCTCTCTCTCTTAAATATTAATGCCTGGTTTTATTTATAAAAGAAGCACAGTATAAAATCGGTAAAGATTTCAGTCCCGATTCTTGCCTCAAAAGTATGCTGTTGTATCAGTGGCGCTGCCATTAATTTGTTCCTGTTTAATTAAAGCAGCTTTAGATATGTTTGCTACTTCTTGAGATGTAACAGAACTTTGGGAATCCAAAGAGTGTCTATCCCTTGACAACTGAGTCTTTACTTCTGGTGGTGACGATGGTTTAAACGAGGACACAGAGTCGCCATAACCGTTTGTTAATGGTGGTAAATAATGTTCATCGAGGTCTTTTGAATCAAAGCTTTTGGTTGTACTGGGAGGGAGCGACATCGGTACACTATCGAAAGGATTCTCAGAAGAGGTCTGTGACGATGAACGCGAATTAAAACCGTTCACAGCCTGGGTTTTAAATGGAGAATAAAGATTTTCTTGACTGTTAGTTTCTTCTGATTCTTCTTTAATAGAATCAAAACCCAGTGCCATTGTCGAATATCCTGCCATTGAGGAAGCATAGCCAGCCGCTAAAGCCTCCTCAAAACCACGATCTATATCATTGTCATATGGATCTGTGGTTACATGTTTAACTGATGAAGGTTGAGACGACTGGAATGACGTCGTTTCCTCCTCCACGTCCATCCACGGTGGACGTCTGACAGCCGTGTAAGGTTCAATAGTCACTGATTTATCACTTGATTCGAACGCCATATCCTCCGGTTTTAAAAACTTTGGACTCTCAGAACATATCGAAGGATTTAGGTTGTCTTTATCTTCTAAAAATATGTCATTAAGATCAGCGACCATAGCCTCTTTTAAAGGGTCTTTGTTATCGCCCTGAATGCTGGGCTCTCGTATTGAACTTTCGTCATCAGAAATATCCAATATCATACATTGTTCTGACGTACTACTTTTATCTTTGTCCAGTTCTAATATATGATCTATATCATCGTCGTCATACTGATTACTAGCACCTTCACTCTCACTTTCGTGGGTTTTAACAACACTGCGCGGTAAACTATTAGTTAAATAATCCGGATGATAATCACTAGACATATAGAATTCATTCTTTTCATCTCGCGGCAATGCTGTTTGATCATCGTCAAACGCCTCGTTCACGAAGATGGCGGGAAGGTGTTTACGTCGCATTTGTTCTTTCCATTCTTTACGTGAATTGGAGGAAGCACTACGTTCAAGGTCGGCATGAGACGGCGTACTAAGGGTTGACATTGTGGGACTCGTTGGATCTTTCTGTGGAGTCCCATTACTGTTTTTAACCATCGTTAAATTGACCACAGCGTTAGCATTGCCGTTATTTGTCGCCACAGTCATTCCGTCATCTATGTCCGTTATAACAATATTGGACGGTCTTCCGTTGCGATTCACAGTCGATTCGCTATTTCTAACGGCATTAGTGTTATAACCGTTCATTTTGGTCGTATCGCCGTTTGTATAAACGTGATCTTTATGTGGTAATATGGTGTTGCGGTCATTCGTTTTAGTCGTAATGCGAACAGTTTTACCATCAACATCTCGAATTTTTCTGGTATATGACTGTAACGTACATGCTGAAGGGTCTGAAATGGAAAGAGAAAATTATATGAACATTAAGCAAAGTTTTTACAAAGTATCTTTACAATTATCTAACGCCCATAAAGTAAATTATCCATTTACTGGAGAAATACAAAGTCTAAATAATTTACCAAAGCGAAATATTTCTCTGAAATCTTGCTAATTCTAACTAGCCAACGGGCTATGTATTTAATATTTTAAACTTAAATTAAGCAGCGAATGGTAATTATAGTCAAGACAATGTTCAGAAGCCAAGTTATACAATATTGAAACATCTACCGATGCCACCTCTTTGTTCATGAATAATTCGCCAGAAATGAAGTACAGCAAGAGCCGGGAAATAAATGCATATCGTCGTGTTATAACTTCTTTTCAATAAAACAACCTTTCCTGCCTTTTAGGTTAACCAAGCCGTGTAAATATACTCTTCAAAAAAAGTAGGGGATATTAAGAAAAAATACAAAACTGCGGAAATGCACTGCTGTTTTTATTAGAGGTAAACAGTGTATGTTAATAACAGGCCAATTGCCTACACATGAACATAAACAGTTCATATGGGCGACTTATCTGACGGCAAACGACAGTTTTCATCAACCCTTCCTTGAAGTGTCAAATTTGACAATGAACCCCTCCCAGGTGTATGGCGCTATTGCGTGTCGCACATGCAGCTCAGTGGTTCTGTTGGGGCGATAAGTTCTTCATCTGTGAACATACTCTCAAAGCATGTCAAGTGTCCATGACTATTTATCATATCACAACCTGCATAGGTATTTGCATTTCAATATCCCCTACTTTTTTTTAAAGAGTATATGCTGGTTAGAGGCATGAGTCGTTCACACGTAGCCGGTGGGTGTAGAAATGTAGGACGCTATGCCGCAACGCGTACAATATTAAATATATGTCCCTATTACCCTATTTGAACCCCGAAGCCCCGAACCACTAGCCCTTTCTTATAAACAAATCTGAATTACTATAATGTGATGGATATTGATGTATGTTCAAATTAAACTTTTACTTGCTAGGTTTTGGTGTCACTTCTCTGCAGAAATGTTTCCCCACCAACTATCCTAAATATATACGAAATGTGGTCGAAATGCCATATTGTGAAGAGGAAAACAAATCGAATGGAATGAAATGGATATATTACCTTCTTCTTGAGCAGTTATATCTCGGAGTATATGTACTTTCCACGTATATACCAATGCATGGCGATATCGTTTACTTACTAACCATAATAAATGTGGCAAGATTAAAGCTTCTATAAGTATTAACCATAAAATAATTATTTCTAGAATTTCTCTATCCGGATTATCTACAAGTTGATAAAATTCTATCACCTGAAAAAAATAAAAATAAAACAGGCTAAAACAACAGAAAACCTTCTAAAAGAAATATTTTAATGAATATTTTATTGTATAAATGAAATTATCAGGTAACTATAGATCTGTTGCATGTTGATGGAGTCCAGTTTTTGATGCCACAAGGTCATTGTCAAAGGCCAATCTTTGACACAAATTATCTGGGCTAGAAAGAAAGGGGAGAAATTTGCGTGCATATGTAAACGAATATTTTATTAGCCTTTTCAATGTATAGGACTGTGTTGTATATTAGTATTTCTCAAGACAGAGTAGCTAAACTACCTGCTAACTGTGCGTAAATATCGTACGTGTTCTAATATTGCAGTTTCAACAATAGGTTTTCATTCTAGCGGGTGACCAAAAGTAGAATGTCCTGATTTCACCAACTTTTTTTTTTGTTGGGTTTTTTTTTTTTGTTGTTGTTTTAAAGCAAAAAAACCAAAGAGAAGCAGACTATAGCTTCGTAAAACTTTAGACTGTTTTCATCGCACAGGAGAAGGGTGTAAACAGCTAGACAACCTTCATTACATCAAAATCTGTTATCTGATTCAGGATGTTTTTGGCGTTTTTTTTTGTATTCTAGTCTGTATAGTCTTAGTTGAAACTCTAGTGCAATATAAATGAAAATTGTGTTTAACATCCTATTTCTTGTTACCAACCTAGTGCAGTAGAACCTGAGTATTAGAATTGTTTTTACGTAGACGGCAAATCATTAATTGAATATCTTGTTGAATTTGGTACAACACAAGATGATAAGGGGTCTGAGAAGCAATTTTTGAAACAATTTTGTCAAATATTATGTGGAACGCTTGTGGTAAAAACATCACAGACCAAAAGTCGAAAATCTTGTAGAATGTAGTACCACACGGGGGGATAAGGGGTCTGAGATGAAATTTTTGAAAAACATGGATCTGCCCAATATCTTGTGGAACTCTTGTGATGAAAAACACCACGGAATAAAATTCTATAGAATATACTTTCACCACATCTTACAAGATGATATGATAAGCTATTAATGTTCCAGCAAAATAAATAGAAAATGTTTCATAAATTGTTTATGGTCCAACCAGCAAAATAAATAGAAAATGTTTTATAAATAGTTTATGGTTCAACTTTTCCAAACGCCCCAAGCCATTACTGTGAACTAAAAATAAAAGATGTGGTGTCAGGTGCTACAAAAGATGGTCATAATATAGACCCTTTTCACATTTGGGATTGTGGGTGATTAGCCTACAGTAGCCTATTTTTGCCCACTTCACAAATTAAGTTACACGATGGATCCCACGATGGTATGTACGAGTCTGTTTGACCTCATGGATTCTCCCCAGTTTCCAGAATCACATGTTTGGTCTAACCCAACCTACTCCTTGCCATTTCTAAATAGTTCATGATTCCATTTAGAATAGAGTTTGCACGCAGTATGTCCACCCGGTTAAGACATGCTTGCACAGTTTCTATTTAGGTTTAATTGTTCAAAAACTTGACTATTGTCTACACTGAGAAAGGCATACTGACTGTGTGCGTGTGGTGATTCGATGTTATATCCACAACAAAAACAATTCCGAGTGTGACAAAGAACTTCACAACTTAATCTGCTTTGACAACTGATATGTTTAGCCGTCGCGAATAGCAACAATCAGAAACAACTGATGCAATATTCCCAATTACTGTAACACATTCATTTAAAAGGTGGTTACTCCAATTCAGAATATTCCAGACGAGATTATAATGCCAAGTTTGATTGACTTCCGGCCCGATGTTTGATTTGAAAACTGATTATGGTCGAGACAAAGGTTGGTTCGGATGAGCTTCAATTCCAGACTTTGTAATAATGCGGGTGTCGTAGTAGCTGAACGGTCAAGACACTGCAATCGCGACAAGAATATCCCGAGATGAACCTTTGGGATTCCTCAATGGTGATCTTCAATTTAAATGCATGTATATCTATTTTTCAAACCGCTTTTTAGAACCACTTTAGAACTCTGGCTAATCGTGACTTTTTTAAGAATTGGCCGTGTGAATGCTTTAGAGATGCATACCTAATACATTTTCTGATTTAGTATCAATTTTAATCAACACTGTTTGTGACATAATGATTCGAGTAATATTTTTAATAAAAAGTATCAAATTGTAGCATATAATAATCTAAATTTGTTCATGGAATCGTGGAGAATAACCAGCTCATTGACAAAGATTGATATTCATGGAATAATCTAAATATCGGAATGTCACATGTCATAAATGTTCCCAATAGCATGACGTTTGTGCTCTACTTCAATTAACAGACACGTGATGCTGCTTTGCTGGTAGATGATTTATGGCCATTTTAATAGCACGTCGTCCTAATATCAATAAGTGTTTGGTCATTTCTGGTCATCAGCTATTCCCCAACACCAGCCAGCATGCTTTACTACAAACAATTATGGAATTTTAAGTTCATTTCCATACTTTGCCATGAGCCCTTAATCAAATCACAACTTTACTATAGGGATTATGCATAATCCCTCAAGATAGAAATGAGTTCACTAAACGAGTTAGAACTTAATAACAGGAATTGCTTTCTCCATCTGTTCCGAAATAATGAAATATAATTATAGTGTGGTGATTCATAATTATCTCACCCTAATCACAGACAAAAGAAATTTGATCTTTATAATATAGTGTAATGGACGCCTTGTGGAGGTCTGTTGATCAATTATCTCAACCATCTAGCACGACAGTACGCCATTTAAAACTGAAACACTGTTGACGTTGTAAATACTACCTTATACCCACGTCAGGCCGGGGTGGCGTCCTTACTGCGCTGTTACGGCGACGGAAAATGGTCTCTGAGAGCGTCAAGATCATCATAAGCGTGGTAAACGCGTGGTTGAAACGCCAGCTATCGTGCTGTGGTCTCCATGGCCGCCAGTTCAAAATAAACGTCAATGTTCTGTGATCTGAACTAGAGAGCTGTTTAAAGTTTGTAATATTTTGGAACATTTTCCGGCGACCTTGTGCATTTTCTGGTCGCCGTACGGCCGCAGCAGCGCAGTAAGGACGCCAATCCGGTCTGACGGAGGTATTAGCCATTTTTAAAATGACAAAATCGCTTTGATTTGAAAATAAACAAAGCCAACAGTGAGGCTGATGTCCCCCGCCGAAATCCCAAAATAAATAGATGACACATATTAATTAATCGCACATTTATTTTTTTCAAAAGTATCGAGCAATCAAACTATACACTAAGTTACATCACTCTCTATCAGACAGAACCAAGATTATCTTGTCCCAAAGCATCGACCAATCAAATTGAGTAGCTCTGCTTAGCTTCAGCTTGAAATGTTAATCATTGAACTCAGTCAAGACATTCACCTAATGAACATCTACATCAAGTTTAAACATTCTACCTCAGAGTTGTTGTGTTCCAAAGTCTTGGCCAATCAAATTGCTTATCGGTCCTTAGCTTAAGCAGAAAATTATCACCATCGAACTTAGTCAGTGATATAATGTAATGATATAATGAATCTATATCCAGAGTTTCATCAATTTCACTTCATTATAACCAAAGTTATTGTGCCCCAAAGCAACAACCAATCAGATTGCTTATCTCTGCTTACCGTAAGCAGACAATGTTCATTATCGAACTCCATCAAGGCATTCAACTAATGAACGCCTACATTAGTTTGGACATTCTACCTCAATTAGAAGGAGAGTTATTGTGTTCCAAAGTCTCGAACAATCAAATTGCTTATCGCTCTGCTTACCCTCAGCAGAAAATATTTATTATCCAACTTAGTCAAGGTATTGATGTAATAGAGCTATACACCAAGTGCCCTCACTCTCACTTAAGTGAGAGGTGGGGGTAGCGTCCACTCGAAACAGACCGGGTCATTTCGGGACTAACATATGGTTTAATTTCATTTCAATACTTCGCTTGCGCGTAGGGGTCTTTAGCTGTGGGAGGAAGCCGGAGGACCCGGAGAAACCCACGAGGTTGGAAACTCAATTAGAATGAGAGTTATTGTGTTTCAAAGTCTCGACCAATCAAATTGTTTATCGCTCTGTTTACCCTCAGCAGAAAATGTTCATTATCCAACTTAGTTAAGGTATTGATTGATGTAATGAAACTATACACCAAGTTTCATCACTCTAACTTAATTAGAACTAAAGTTAACGTATCCATAAGCATCAACCAATCAAATCGCTTTTCTCTCCTTACCCTAAGCAAAAAATGATCATCTTCGGACTCCATCAAGGCATTGACCTACCTAAATACCTACACCAAGTTTGAACATTCTAGCTCAATTATAGAAAGAGAGCTATTGTGTCCCAAAAAGTGTGACGGACAGACGGACGGACAAACAGACAGACGGACGAACCCATTTTAATAGTCCCCTGCTTTTTTCAAAAGGCGGGGGACAATTAAATTTTAAATGTAGTCAGATTGGTGTGTTGATTTATTGGTGTGTTGTGAGTATCGGCCAACCCATCCTCGGTATCCCCAGCTCCTTTAACGCTGCATTGTGTAAGAGCTCAATCGACCTATTGCACTTCTTTTTTCTACCTTCAAATGTTAAATAAATTATTATTTAGACGTTTATTTACATGAATGACACGTCCATAACCCACTCTCTATGCCATCGGGTGGCTTAGATATTGAATGGAACGGAATGGACTGAACACTTTAAGGATAAAATGGATAATCGAGACTTGTTTATTATCGTAGCAATGGTACGTGGCAATCGAAACTATATTGTCAACAATTCAAACACCATAATTTCGCTCAGACTGAAATTTCAAAATATTAATTTATTATTATCTATTTTGGAACTGATATAGCATGATACACCTTTAAGTTACAGATCAGTCATTCCCCGTGTACAACACCTAATAACCCTAAAAATTAAAGCTAAAATCCATCAGAAGGTCAATAAGCCAAGTAAATAATAATTATACCTTGTTGTTTTACAATTTATTCCACAAAACAAAATTGCCCT